ACTCAGTTGCTTTACGTGGTGAAATTCATCAATATGCTAATAGCTGCAGAAAAGAACAAGTAGAGGAATATTGAGAGAGCATTCACCCACTTCCACTTCATGGGGTTAGGCGGGGTAATTCAAAATATACATTGATGTTTAGCAGATAATGTGCAAGAGTAAATGTGTTGTGCTTTGGGGAGGAATACAATTCAACTGTGTTATGAAATACAGGCTATCGAAATCACAAAAATGCAGAGCTGTGGCAAGATTGACATAAGGGTGTGTTTGCTTTAATTCTCAAGGATGAACTGTTCGTACTACTGTAAGAGACTATGCGTTTCAGTGCTTGTAAGTAATACTATACCAAACGAATAATCACCAAAGTGACCTTGGAAAACCAAACCATGCATAGTGAAACAGATTAATAGTAGAAATAAGGTAAACAAGCACAAAAGTGCAGTAAAGATCTCAGTAAACACATACTAAACTTAGGACAAATCCCAGAACCCATACATATTCCAAACCCTAACTGAAAACTAGTCTAAGTAAGGGAAATATCGCAGAGTAATTCTACAATGGAATGGGTGTTAACATAAGGATTATTTGATTAGTTTTTCTAGATCGTTTGGCTTGCTCTTCTTCACATTTGTGTCTGTGTGAACACTGGTTACACAGATGAGATTGACTTAGACCTACATCGTTCGCCACTAGTCTCTTCACAGTAGTGTACGAAACTTGTTTAGACAAGCTGAAGAGCATTTCTCGATAGGAACTTCATCCTGGCGACGTTACAAACACCATCTTAGCGACTACCGTAAAATTCGTCAATTTTCACTCATGGGAAAGACGGAAAGCAATAGAAGCTATGTTCGTCGGTGGCGCAGCGGTTAGGACGTTCACCGACCATACACATGGTCCGGGGTTCGATCCCCGGCCGACGCACTCCTTGATCTCGCTAAGCCAGTGATAAAAAAACGCTAGTACAGAGGAAAGGTTGGGCATGAGACTAGCAACCCTATTCTATCCTAACAACCTTCGCGGCACGGCACGACCTGCAGGAATCATAGTTCCAGCCAATTTAGCTTGTTGGGTGTCATTGAGATATGCAGACCTGACTACCACGTCAAAATAGCCACTATCAGTCGGGCCACTTACCACTTATAAATAACAATCGAAAAATATAAGCATACCTAACACAAATCCCTAGAATTTTTCTCCCCTGTTTACTAGCACTAGCCAGTGCGATATGCAACCATGGGATTATTTAGGTTGAGAGTGAGTAAGAGAAATAATAAGTTAAATACTGTAGACGTCAAAAACTCCACTCGCACTTAAGACCTGCTTTGCTACTATCATCCTCATCATCATTCCTATCACGAAATCAAGCGAAATGAAAAAGAAAAGAAACAATCTGAACACCTCAACAATTCATTATTTGAAATACCTAAGAAAGCAATAAAATATATGTATATAATATATATATATATATATATGGTATATGTATATGGATGTATGGTAATAATAGTTTCGTCAAAAAAGAAACACATAACAGAAATGCACCAAAAAAAAACAAAATCCAAATACAGTAAAAGTCTGAAGGGCTAGGCCATTAGTCGTCGGTTCACACGCATAAATACAAGCACACAGATTGAAATTGTGAAGAAACAAGTACATTCAAAAAACATGATAGCGGTAATTGTCCACTGTAGTTATATGCTGGGAAAAGTGTGTGAAATTTGAATTTCAGCAAAAGAAAAAAACACACGATATGAAAAGGGCGGGCGTTCTCGTCTGATTACATACAACAGAACAGAGTAAATGGGGGAGGGGGTGGGGCGGGGAAGTAAACGTAATACAACACTCTTCACATATATGATAGAGCTATTTAATACAAAGCAAACACACCATTTGTATGCATATAATGCGCTGATTTTGTGGTAGAAGTAAAAGGGATAAAAGCACAAATAATAAGGGGGGGGTTATAACAAAAGAGAGGAAAGAAAATACATATATATAGGAAGTAAAATGCCCGGGAAGTGAAATAAGATTGAGTGACGCACCGAGTTGAAATACAAATAAAATTATTTAAATTGAAGTGAAGGCAGTTTAGAAAACAAGCAGAAAACATAGTGGTGGTCGATAATACAATGATCACTAATCCTATAGATACACAAAAGCCTAAGAAATATGCAAGACCATCTCTCTCATTTACTAAGGTCCAAAATAGTTTGACTTTCTTCGTATTCTTTAGTAGTAGTAGTAGTATCATAATTATCCTGAGATTGATCTGAATGTCTACAAGATACAGTTTGTCGGATATCTCCGGAATCCTGAGTTTCTCGCTCTGAACCAACAGAGCTAGTCATATCGGAGGTGGGAGGAGGTGTTGTTGTAATAGGATGCGTTCTCTTATATGATTGGGGATATGGCCGTCGTTGCATACTTGAATGCTTCAGGGGAGTAGATGTTGTGCCTACTGTCGGAGAAATATTTGTAGCTCCACCAAACATCGATAAGAGAGCAGCAGTATCTATTTCTCCAGTGCCTCCTCCTCCTCCTCCTCCACAAGCAGATGCTAGAGTCGCAGCTAATGAGCTTAATAGCTGTTGAGTATCCCAGTGGCCAGGTGACTGACTCACTTGCCTCTGTTGCATCTGTTTCGCTGATAACAAGTAATTGGCATACAAGGAAGCTAAAGTGGCTTGATGTGTAGCATTAGATGCCAAATTTATATTGGGCAATCCGACATCTGGAGTGTTGGGTGCTCCAGAACATGAAAGCATAATCTGACTGTAGAGAGCTGCAGCAGTTAAGGGATTGCACATATACGCCAGGTTCATTGCAGCAGCCTGTTGATAAACAGCAGCTAGCATTGAATCTACGCGTTGATTGCCAGTGGACATTTGAAACGGATTATCTTGTGCACTTGGATTGTGATTTGAATTCCTTTCAGGCATAAATGATGAATATGCTTGAGAAGATATGGATGAAGAATCTGTTAATTCACTACTATCACGTCGGCGATTTGAATTTTCTGAACGATTACCTATAAAATTGAGATACAATAAATGATACTATGAAATACAATTGTATAACAACAATCATAATGAGGTTATTATAATATTTTATTTTATTTTTTTTTTATTTACAGCTTGATTCCACACCGTATTTTTGGTACAAGTATGGAATTTTCAGCATGGATATCGGTAGCCCAAATTTTGCAGGCCGACCATAGATATCAGGTGTGCGTCGGCGTGGGCTCGAACCCCGGACCATGTGCATGGTCGGTGAGAGTCCTAACCACTGTGCCACCGACGCACTCTAAAGTCACCTCTTTATGTAAAGGAGAAATGAAAAACTCTTCATTAAACCTTCAATATTATGAGAACTATAAACACAAGATTTCAAAATATTGCGGCATATTTGTCAGGTAATTATATATTAAAGCACGGTTTAAAAGCATACCGTTTGATCGGCTTTTTGAAGAACGGGAAGTAGATGATGATGCACTGCCACTAGTTGTAGCAGAAACTCGGGATTTAGTATTACTGACTGAATTCGTCACAGCTGGAGAAGCAGTAGATGGAGTTGGAATTGACGGCCAGTTATTTAAAGCAGAAGCAATTAGACTGGCATAAGCTGGATGTCGAGCATAGGCACCAAATGTACTCAGTAATTGTTGTTGTTGTAAATATTGCTGAGTGTTGAAATTATTCACTTGAGTGTTGTTAGCTGATGATTGAGAAGTAGACGTTGCTAAATTGTTATTATTGGTACCATGTAAACCAGCTGCTGCATTGACTAGTAAACTATTTAGGTAATGCTTATATGTCAAGGATTCCATATTACTGGTATCCTGACCCCTTGCACTTGCAACACGGTTATAAATTGCCCGATCCTCCTGGAATATTTTTTTTTAAAAGAAAAAGAAGAATATCAGTAAATATATTTTTGGCAATAAGACAAAAAATCAGAAGAATATGTGAATCATGAAACATATCACAATCATACTAAATATTCAGAAAAGATATCTCAACTACAGGCGGGACTGATGAGAATATCAAAGCGAGCATCATCGGGAAAGCAAGACAAGCTTTCATTACTCTCAAGTCTTTGTAGAGGTCAACAGCACTCAGCATGAAAACGAAGATAAGATCCGGATTTTCAACTCCAATGTGAAGTCAGTCAGTGCTACTCACTATACGGATCAGAGACTTGGCCAGCGCTTCATAAAGAGCATCTCAAACATACTTCAGACCTTCATTTACAGTTGTCTTCGCTCAATACTACTCAAGATCAGATGACCGGCCAGAAAAGATCAGCAACAGTGAGGGATCTCTGGCAATGAGCGAACCAACCAGGAACCGATTGCGAAACAAATAAGCAGGAAGAAATGGAGATGGATTGGCCATACGCTGAGGAAACCATCAAGTGACATCACACGCCAGGTCATCGCTCGACTGGAACCCGAAAGGGAAACGGGCGGCGAGGGTGACTTGGAGGAGGTCATGTGAAGAGGAGATGAAATCATGTGGGCAGACTTGGAGTGGGGTGAAAACGTTGGCAGAGAACCGAAGGCAATGGAGACGCGTGGCTGACGCCCTATGTTCCTCTAGGAATTAAAGGAAACAATAATAATAATAATATTAATATCAAGACTGGTTCTTAACGATGTAATTCAAGCATAGGGAAAGATATAGTCAGGTGCGCTTAAAACTTATACAAATTATAACATCTGTTATCCACTAAGTAGCAATTCAACACATAACTTTTATTAATTAAGTCTGTGTAACATTTCGTCGTCCCAACAAATTTCACATAATTTTATGCACTCACTCAAAAATCAGATAAATTTATTGCGTAAAAAATATCTTAATTACTCGGGCAACAAAACCGCATCCATGTTTTAGTTGATCAATGTATTTCCATAAAGATCCGTTAGCAGCAGAGTTCAACTAATACAAAGATTAGTGTAACAATCATACGTGAAATTTTATTTTTTATTTATTTTTGTTTTTGATTTACAGCTTGATTCCACACTGTATTTTTGGTACAATTGGAATTTTCAGCATGGATATCGGTAGCCCAAATTTTGCAGGCCGACCATAGATATCAGATGTGCGTCGGTGCGGGCTCGAACCTCGGACCATGTGCATGGTCGGTGAGAGTCCTAACCACTATGCCACCGACGCACGTGAAAAGAGACCACTGTATTGATAAAACCTTGTGTTACATCATTAGAATAAAAGTATGGTTGGAAAACTTGTTCAGCTATATCGCAAAATGTCTCCTCTTTGCATAAACAACCGAATGTACAGTCGCTTGTATCTGTCTGTCTGTCTGTTTTCGACATAGAACTTTGCACAAATGTGCGGAAGTTCAAGTCGCCACATTCCGTGTAGCACGCGAAGCAAGAGAAGAAAGTACAAGAAAAGCATAATAGAAACAGTGAGCAGAGGTGTGAGACAAAGGAGTAATAAAGAAATACAAAACAGTTTCATTGAAGATCATAAGTCACAAGGAGTGGATGCATCTGCGCCACTGAGAACGATTTTGAGCCATGTCACCAATTGTTTCCAACCATAGATTTTTACCGTCCCGAGGACCCCAGCCTGGAAGTCTACACCTTCCTACGTGGCTTAGACCAACTGTTGTGGATTTCATTGACTGATGCCAAGTTTTTGTTTGACCGCCGCTAGCTTTTTTCCAGCCTGACCCTATATCCGCTAACATTGCTCGTCGAGGGAGGCGATGGCTTGGCATACGTAACACATGTCCTAACCATCTCAGTCTTTGTAGCTTCACGACTTCGTCGATTGATTTCCCCTGTTTACCTAGAACTCTACGCCTAACCTCCATGTTGCTCACCTTATTATGCCACTTTACACGGGAAATAGAACGCAGGCACCTATGATCAAAGACAGCTAGTCTTTTCATGTCTTCCACTCTCAGTGGCCAGGTCTCACAACCATAAAGGAGGACGGAGCGGACTGATGAGCAGTACACCCGCCCTTTGGTCGATAGTCGAACATCTCGTCTACGCCAGAGTCGGCGTAAACTAACAAATGCGAAACGAGCCCCTTGTATTCGTGCTGAGATTTCGTCAGAGATCAGCCCGTTGGGGCTGATGGTACTTCCCAAATAAGTGAAGCGGTCAACGTGCTCTACCACTTCACTTCCTATTTTTAAACTAGGCGTCGATGTAGTCCAGTCCTGTAACATCATCTTGCATTTGGCGGGAGCGAATCGCATGCCAAACATTCGTAGATTGCGGCTCAAGGTGTTTAGAAGACTCTGCATTTCGTCAGCGTCTTCGCCTAGAAGGACTATATCGTCTGCATATTCCAAGTCAACGAGATTATTCCCCGGTAGCAAGTCAATCCCTGAGTCGCTGAAGTCACCTAGGGTTAAGTCCATTAACACATCTATGATGAAGTTGAATAGAAAAGGAGATAATGGGCATCCTTGACGGACACCACTGGTCGTCATCAGTTCAGATGACAGCTCGCCGTAAGCCCTCACCTGGCTGTATGAGTACGAGTAGAGTGCCTTAATCAGTGCAATATATTTTCTTGGAATTCCCTTTACAGCCAAGCATCTCCAGAGAACTTCCCGATCGACAGAGTCGAATGCTGCCTTTAGGTCAAGAAATATAATGACTGTTGGACGCCGGTAGGAATGCCTATGTTCTAGAATCTGTCGGAGGGTGAAGATATGATCAATACACCCTCTTCCTGGTCTAAAGCCTGCCTGGCTCTCTCGTGTTTGTGCTTCCCGAGCACCACTCAGTCTACGCATGATTATTGAGCCTAAGACTTTAGATACTATATTAGTCAAGCTAATCCCTCTGTGATTATCACAGGAAGACTTGTCTCCCTTCTTGTATATGGGGATAATCAGTGACTTACACCAACCCGATGGGACTTCTTCTGATTCCCAGACGCTGCCTAGTACCTCAGTTAATCCGGACAGTAAGCTGTCTCCACCGTACTTAAATACCTCTGGCGTCATTCCATCAGGTCCCGCTGCTTTGCCTAGTTTCAGATTGGTGACAGCTTTAGTAACCTCAGTTAGTGACGGAGGACCTGTGTCTATATCCCATTCAGGGAGGTGTTGGATGCTCGGAAGGTTGAGCGTGGCTGTGGGCAAATTAAACTGCTCCTCATAATGCTCTTTCCAACGATCCAGTCGTCTATCCTGTGAGCTAATTATAGTGCCATTTTTTTCCGAGATTGTCTCACTAATGATTTGTCTTCTCCCACCCGTTTCCCTGATGAGTCCAAAGAGTTGCCTGGTGTTGCCTATCCTCAAAGCTTTCTCCATCTCTTTGGCTTTTGTCGCCCACCACTGTTCACGGTCCTTGCGGAGACTTTTCGTAAGTTTCCTCTTGTGCAGCTTTCGCTCCTCATTGAATTCGGAGCTCGCCGGAATAAGTCTTCTAGCATCTATCAGTTCGGATGAGGCGGTGGAGATCCAGTGGTTTTTACTCACCTTTGGGTTTACCTTATTCACAGCTTTTACAGCTGTATCTATGGCTGCCTGGATATTTTTCCAAGCTTCTTCAGGGTGAGCACAGCTGTCGAACACAGATATGTGTTTAGCTAGTTCTTCCTGAAATACGGATTTAGTTTCCTGATCGAGCTGGGGACGTGATGGTTTTACCGCCAGCTGTTTCCTACGTCCGTTCAGTCGTAAGCACACCCGAGCGCGGACCAGTGCATGGTCGGTATCTACGCACGTGTTCCAGAAGGAGCGACAATCTCCTACCGACCCACGCCAACGATAGCTTATTGCTATGTGGTCTATTTGTGTCCAGCGTTGGTTTGATGAAGGGGGTCTCCAAGTCAAACAGTGTCTCTCCTTGTGTTTAAAGTTAGTGCTTACAAGAAACAAATGATTATCAGAGCAGAACTGTAGGAGACGGTCACCGTTGTCGGTTCGCTGGCACGGAGCTCCATAGGTGCCACCGACATCCTTCTCAGATTGACACAATTTCCCTACTTGAGCGTTAAAGTCACCAGCTAGAACGACTATGTCTGAGCGTTTAGCCTTTCGCACCAAACTAGACAGCTTTTGGTAGAACTCATCCTTCGTTTCATCTGAACTGCAGTCAGTGGGGGCGTAGGAGTCGCTTGTATCCACTGCTTAGCACTAAGTGGAATCAGAAAAGCCTATTCAGAACATAAAAGCATAGGCACATTACCATAATTGTTCCCTTGGGTTCCGAGTGGGATATAGAGCTGCAACAACACATCTCCACTTAGTTCTACTCTCTGATTTTCTACGCCCACGACTGCCCATTGCCTATAATCTTTTCCTCACACGATCTCCTCGATGTCACCGAACGGAGACCCACTTGTCGTTTCTTATTCAGGTTCTACTCGAGCGCTCGCCTGACGCGCAATGCCAATCGACGATCTCTTCAACGTATGCCCATTCTATCTCAATTTTCTCTTGCATATATGTTGAACAATTGGCTCTTAGTCGGTTTGTCGCTAGAGTTCCTTGTCACGAACTCTTTCTGGCCAGTCGACTATTTGATCTTTAATATGTAGTCAGGGAAGGCAGCTGTTGATAAATGTCTGCAATCTATTGGAAATACTTTTCATAATGCGTCAAGTTTATGACTCATAGAGAAGGACTGACTGATTTAACATTGGTGTCGAAAATTCGCATTTCATTCTTAATGACGAGTGCAGATGGTATGCAAACTGGTTTCAGGCTGATAAAGGCACGCATTTCCTGCCTCTCCAATTCTGGCTGACTGGCCTTGACATCTTCATCTGTTCTGACTGCCTGTGGTCGGAACCACGCTTCCAAGATAAGTGAAGGAAGTAACCTCTGTCGAATCTCTCCCGTTATTGGCTGTTGTTATCGTCGGTGTGTCTTATCGAAGTTAAACTGGAGTCCTGTCTTCGTTGTTCGCGTCCACAGCCAGTTTGTTGCTTTTAGGTTCTAGGTCTTCGAGTTTATGTGGCATTACATATAAATCATCCACGAAATTCAGACCTGCTACAATCCACCTATCCGTCCATCGTAGTTCCTGTCTTCTAGTTTCCCACGATAAGCTGCATAAACCAGTCGTCCACCCCAATTAGGAATATCATCGATGAAACAAGGCGGCGTGTTCCTTGTTTCATTTTTGTATTCACTTCAAAGGCATATATGCTGTGTAGTTATTGTTCAATTGCTAACTTCAGAACAGAATTTGTATTATTGTTGCATTCAAACACTAAGCATATTATAAATAAATAGAGAAGGCTAATGAGATAAATAAATAAATAAACACATAGCGTGTAGCCTCGGTGGTATTGAGGCTAGAACGCTCACCGGTCATGCACATAGTGAGGTTCGATCCCCGGTCGACTCACTCTTTTACCTTGCTAAGCCAGAAATAATCCTGGTAAAGAGGAAAGGTTGGGTATGAGGCTAGGAACCCCATCCTGTAAAAATAAACACCACTACTACTGAAACTTCAAGCCTCTAGCTTGAAGCCCATTGTTCCACTGGGGAACGTGAAGGAAAGAAAGAAAAAAAAAGTGTTAGTTGTGTAAACTGCACAGATGTCCTCATAACCTGTCATCGAAATTTCGTACACCTTCAGTACACTTTTAACACTTCATCTATAGTCAGCTGAGATAATTATAAATCCGGTATGTTACCCCATGAAGAAATAAACAAATAACCAGATTTGCTTGAGAACTAATTTAAAACCAGAAAATTCATAAATTGTCAAATGAAATCACTTATTATAGGTTGACATAGTGGGAAAGTGAGCTAATAATATAAGAGCACACAAAATGATTAATGGGATATATATATATATATAATACTTACTAATTCCACAGAATATGGCATGTAATTCGGATTTGCATCCAACCAGGATTCTAAAGATCTGCGTTCAGGAGCCTGATCCCCGTAGATTAAAGAACCATCAATTAAACTAATCACAGGAACGCGGACATCCCAAATATCAGCATTCTGAGGTGTTTTTTGAATATCATTTGGATCAGTTTTTAATGAATGAAGACGTTCTCGTTTAGAACTATTTGTTACTTTAGAAAATGGTAAATTTGTATCAGACTGATTTTTGGATGATTCATTCTTGCGTTTACGTCCACGGTTGTTCGCACCACCACCACCAACAGCAGATCGTGGTGCAGATGTGACACTAGGAGGTGGCATTGAAAACTCAATATTTTCAGGCAATGTAATAGGTGTTGAAATTGGTTTTGATTTAGAACCTGGTGCAAAGTTTTCAGAATGCGAAGTTGTACACTTCAAGAGATTATCAGACACTGATGATTGATCTTGTTCAGAATCGAAATTCGATCCAGACTTATCACGGTTGACAGGTAAGTTTTTACTACCACCAAATGAATTAGTACGGTTATTTCGGTTACGAGTCTTACTACGACTTCGATCGGTAAGAGAAATCTCATTGGTAGGATTAGATGAAAAAGGTAGTTGATTGTCTTTTAGATCTAATGGAATGTTGACCGACGTAGAAATGCATTCACTGGAATCTATATTTGTGGCAGTTGAAAACTGAGCCTCAGAATCGTAGGCTTGTAAAGATGGCTTACACTGTAGTGAGTTAATATGTCCTCCAGGTAGAGAGAAATCAAATTGTAGTGAATCATCTAACTCATTATTTGAAAGAGATGATAGCTGTGTTAAACTGGAAGATTGTGCATCACATGTTGACTCAACTGACAGTGGATTAGATGCCATCTCTGATGAATAAACAGGTAGACCATATTGTTTACGCGTTAAGGGAATATGAGCAGTGTTCAATGGAATTCTTCTAGAATTATTTGACGACAATGAATAAGCATCTCGAGACAACGGTAAACTTTGGAAATTTTGAGGAAGGGTGTCATTTAAACAAGAAACTTTTGTTTCAATTTGTGCACGCGTAGAGCCTATCATCGACGATGAAACAGGAATTGCAGTAGTGATTGGAGTAATGAAACGACGAGGATTTGGCCATTCATTATTCTGTGATGTAAGTAAATAAAAATTAAAGTAAATAATTTACACTAGTTTTCAAAAGAAAGAGTTTTTTGTGTGTCAACAGAGTAGTTTAACTGTAAGTTTAACTGCAAGTAATTATCTACTCTTCTAACCCTAACAATAACCGTAATCTTTCATTAACCTGACCCTGTCGTCAAAATATTTAACTAGAAACAAGTCGAATGTTGCCTTCGTGGTGTTAATCTAACCCTAACTGTCTTTAAACTAAACCTTAATCTTTCCCAAACCTAACCTGAGACTTTCCACATGTTCCACTTAATAACCCAAAACCTTATTAGGCATTTTCATGATTACAGTATTATCCATCAGGTTTGACAAACTTGCCTGCCGAGAGTTTCAAGGTCATTTGTGCGGTGGTACTCAGCTGGCATTTACTGGTGCTTAAAGTTAGACTTGGCCACTGACACGTATATGCATCAGCTACATTTGAAAGCAGTTATTTTACAGTGATAATCAACGAATAGATTGGTTGCATATACAAGTATTTATCACTGCATCTCGAAGAGGCGTACTGTTATCCTGTTGGCATATACGCAAAAATACCACTGATATCATCCAACTACAGCGGAAACAATTTTAACGGTCCATCAAAACATTATTACTTAATGCGTAATTACATAAGAGTTATTCGAAGTGTACATAATCATCCGCGGCCGGTGTTTATCGACAATGTGCATACATACATACACGCGTGGCAATGAGTCACACGGTATTATGATACTATTTGGCTTCTAAGATTTAGCAGACGGAGATGAGGTGGAATTTGTGACGAAGTGGTTTTAAGTTGAGTTTTCCAGACCAGTGAGCCACAATTGACACACTTGGTCATCTGGTTGGCATAATTTGTTAAAACTACTTACATACTTTTGTAGACACCTGAAAAACTGTTCCGAAGGTGTGTAGATACACCATTCATCAATAAGTGGACAATATATTTACATACACAGAGGAGGAATATAAATAGCATAGGGCTAGTCGAATGTCTATTTCTCACGAACTACAACTAGAAAACATTAACAAGGATACTAATAAGGCATGAAAGAGTAGACTAATAACTGTTTCCAGAATGTCATGAGAAGGTTAGCGAGTTTTCATTTTAAGAAAACAATTCAACGTGGACTTTGGTAACGACAGAAACAACTATTCTCTAAAATTCCATGGAGCAACGTAATAATAATAACAATAAATAACATGACAAGGAAAAAACAACCGTAGCTGAAGTTTATGATCATTCGCAGGTATGTTAAGAACACTACTTACTTCGATTGTTTGACAAATGAGCTCCAGACGATGCTGAACAGTTCTGTCTTTAGGCCATGAAATAGCCAAGTTGGTAGCGAATTTTATGGACCATTCAGCTGCAGCCGATTCTCGTCCAACCTTATTGACATCCGTACCACTCAAACCGCCAGCAAGAGAAGCTTCTGAAACGATGTTAAATTTTACGATGAAAAAATTAATCAGTAAACAACAGGTTTTTTGTTTAACTATTAGTGATTATAAGGACAATTAATCTGACTAATTGCCTGAAGTTTACTAAGGCACAGCACAGCATTACAGAGGTAGGTAGGTATCTCATTCCTGAGTGTGTTAGTAGTAAATATTTACCTCATGTATAACAAGTGCAGGGAGAAGTTAATAATACTGCACAGTTTACATTAGCTAGTAAGTGAGTGGGTATTTGACAACAAACATAGCCAAAAACGAAAACCAATCACAGAAATAACCAGAAACAACAACCGTCTGGTTACAAGTTAGGCATGCTATGATCCAGTCATTAATTCGAGGTTGATTGGGGGGGCGATATATCATCATTGTTATCCAGTGTCCAACAATGAGCTGTTCGCAGCTCTTAGATTTCCAACTGTACACTGAACGATGTCGGTTCACCGCTAAATTCACCTTCAAATTCGTGATAGAACTGACTATTTGTAAACCATGTCTCACAAAGTCATGAATAGTATGTCATGCATTGTGAATTCAAAACAGTTCACTTCATTTCGAAGTATATACTGAAAATGTCTAGAAAGACAATTAAAGCTTCACCAGTAAATCAGATAACAGAACTAAATATTATATAAATATTAATATTGTTCCCTTGGGTTCCTAGTGGTACATAGGGCTTCAACTGCACGTCTCTACTTGCTTCTGTCTTCCTTCTGCTGTACTTTTCACCTGCATCCATGTTAGTCCATACTCTTTCAACTCCTCTTCACACGATCTCCTCCATGTCCCCTTTGCACTGACGACCGACTCACCGTTTCCCTTTTGGCCTGGTTCCACTCGAGCAATGGCCTGACGCGCGATGTCACCCAGCGGTCTCCTCAGTGAGTGTCCAATCCATCTCCACTTTCTCCTGCATATT